TTGTAGTTGGTTCACTATCTGAAATATCATAATAAATATTAACTCTTTTACCTTGTTTGTTTGTTTTATATTTTAATTGAACTTGCATATAATTAATTGAATCAGAAAATTCTAAAAGATTTAATTCAAGCCAATGTCCAATTCTATATCTATTTTGTTTTTCTTTTCTAGTAATACATGGTCCATAATCATAATATGTTTCTGAATTAAATATTAATTCTATTGGTTCATTAATATGAATATATTTTCTATTATCAGGTAACCATGTTGATTTTATTATATAATGAGATATATTAGTACAAATATTATGTTGCATAACATATAAAGGATTATTTAAACTAAATGGTTTATATGTATTAATTAATTGACAATGATTACAAGAATAATCTTGGTCATAACCTATTCCACATGATGAACATGTATAATTACTTATACAAGTTGAAGAACATCCAATATGACATTCAATCTTTTTATTATTTAATTTATTTGTATATAATAAATTGTTTATACCATTTACAATATTAATATACATAATTAAAAGAATAAATCGATACCATAAAATTGAAAAAACCATATGAATTAATATTTCTAAGTTCTTTCTTTCTGTTGTTATGAAATTTTATTTTCATATATTTCATTCTAAAATTTATTTTCTGTTCTTGTTTTTTTTTTCTTTTCTTTTCTTTTATCTCAAACCAATTTCATAAATCTTCTCTAGTTTTAAATGATTGAGCATTCGAATTCCATTTTCTTCTTTTCAAGAAATGAATTAATCGTCTATTTCTCTCATTTTGTCCCTATTTTTTGTCTCAATGTCATTACATTTATAGTTCTGAGAATTGAAAGTGCACTACATCTACATATTACAATCATCTAAATTAAAGTGAGTAATTAGTAACAAATTGGTATTATTTAAGTTATTTCATATAAACAAGGAGAGTGAATACCATTTGAATTTCATTCTTTTCTTTATTTTAAAAAAATGTAATTCATATTGAATAACATTAGTATTTATAAAAGATACCACAAAAATTAAAGAGAAATATCAAAATTAATTCTTGTGAAAGTGGTAATAACCAACTTTAACCACAGCCAAAACCATAAGGATTACAGAACACTTAGAGAAATAAAACCTTTTTCATTTCATATGAATAAAACAAAAATATTTTATTAGATTTGTGAAAAAACAATTTTTTTGTTTTTATTTTTAAATACAATAAAAAGTTATTCAAAAATAATTTGTTATAATGACTTCGACTAACAAATTCATGAAAAGAGTCAGATTATGAAGAAGAAATGTTATTGAACAATAAACACAAACAAACAACAAAAATTGTTCTATTGGCACACTCAAATATTCATTCAATCTATAACAATGATTTGTTTGTTGATAACTATTCTTCTTTTTATCATGTTATACTTTTCTTTTCTTTATCATTTGCACTTACACCTAAATTGTATTCATTTGACTTAAACATTTAATGTAATTAGTTGTATATACAATTTAATAAAATGATATTTAATTAATTAAATAGTGATAATAAATAAAGTACAATATTTAAACAACTCTAGTTAAAAAAAAATAATTGATTGAACAGGTGATGTGATTGGTAGTAAAGTCATACATCAAATTCATTTATCATTCATTACTTGATTAATTATGAAATGAATATTTTTTTGAATTTTAATAAAAATAGAATAATCTTAAAAATATTTCAAGTTTAAATTAAAATAGATAATAATGAGTTAATTAAGTATTAATAGAACTTGTGTCTATTGTTCCTGCCTCACCGGAGACTAATCCCGTCCCTGAGTCTTCGTCTTGTAGTTCCACTACATATGTTTGGTTGTGGTAGAGTCAGTGTTCCATGACGTCCATCATGTTTTTAATTACATGGTTTTTGATTTCTTTAGTGATGTCAATTTCGATTTTTAATTGTTTGATTAATTTAATACTTTCGGCATTTATTAGCCCATTAATCCAAATTACTACTGCAATTATGTTGACATCCTTTAATTTCTTTATTTTCATTACCCTATTTTTTAATTCCTTATACATATTTCTTTTCTTCCAATAGGCTCCATTAATATTATGATCTGCCACAATAGTCATATCAATTATTAGACCAGTTTTATTCTTTTTATCTAGTACATATATATCTGGTCTTT